ACAATAATGGATAATGTAATGCCGGATATGAAGCATTAAGTTCATTTATCCGTTGAAGACGACCACTCTTAGTGTCAACCAATATATCTTTGTCACTCAAACATTCGTCGAAATCTCCGACAATCAAGGTAGCAACTTCAAAGCTTGCGGGTAGATTATAGCGTCTGGCATCATTGTATCTTTTTCCTATTAGACGTATTCTGACATTAAGCTGATCGTGGTTCTGCATCCTATTGCTAGCCATGCGAAATGACTTGACCAGCTCGTTGTTTTCGTCTAACATTTGTTTCAATCCAAGTTGTTGTCACCATCTCTTTGCCTGAAAAATAAAATTATTATAAGCATAATGAATAATATTTGGATACATGTGTTTTTCATCATATTTAATTTTAAATACAAACCTCACAGCATTCATTCTATTTTAAATTTCGTTTTCGATATCATATATGTACAACTGTGCAAATGACTGAAAGACTTCTTCATTGGCGATTATTTTTGGAGAGCAAGACGGTTTCTTGACTCATAACTTAGTTTCCTTTCTTTGGTCTCTCTCAATCTCCTTTTGTTGCCTTTTCAGCTGTTTCTGAATTTCATTTTCTTCTTTCACGCTTTGTGTTTATTCATTTTCTACCTTGTCATGCAACCGCCTGAGCTCTTTCTCCTGCAAAATTTTTGGATACATGAGTTAGGACACATATAATAATGATGTTGTAAGTAAACATAGCATGTTAAAAATAATATCATAACTTATGAAATAATAATAAAATTCCAAAGTTGCATTCACTTTTAACTTTTCCTTCTAAATTTACCTATCCAGTTGCTTCCTCTCATTTTCCTTTTTAGTTATGCTCTTCTCCATGATTAAAAAATTTTCTTCTCTCTTGGTATCATTCTCATCCCTTCACAAAATGAAACAATTATGAGGCTAACATCTCAAATTCTAGGAGGGCCCGACTAAACACTAACATTCATACCCACATTACTGAAATGCGGCAAACTTTCTAAAATGCAAGTATTAATGTCGGCATGAACGTTAAATCTCTTTTCTGTGATAGAGAACATGAATCAATAATTTATATAAGGGAAACAAAATCATAATTAAAGTAAAAAAGAATCCTGCATTACTAAGAATTCCAAAATCAACTGTCTAATTATTTACATAATCTTTCCCTACCAAAAAACTATAAATGTAAATAAAGGAAACTGGGTATTGACTAAAACAAACATAAACTGAAACCCTAATTATATAGAAATTATACATTAATGATTTATTGTTTTATTTAAACTTATATTATATTATTTCTATCTATAGTAAGTAATTAATGTCTTTAGTAGGAAATTCTTTCTAAAGTTAAATTAACCTTATTTTATTTTAAATATATAAATTTTGTTATGATCTTATCCTATATACAATATTTATATTACTTTAGATAATGATGATTTCCGTTTTCTTTTCTAACTGATTATATGTTTCCTTAAATTTAAGATATGTCAATTGATTTTCGGCCTCAGGAACATCCTAGGGGAACCCTCAACCCCAAAATCCCCTCAACCCTAGTCGCCCAATTCGTGCAGTGCCGTTGCCCCCTTAACGGCGGTCCGGAGCCGTCGGTCGACGGCCTCCACCGCTCACTCAAGTCGGACTTGCGCTCGTCTCCATTCGTTGGCCCTGTTCCAGATTCGTGGGATCGACGAGGTGCCCTTTCCCAAGTCGATCGAAGGTGTTTGGCGGCGGTTGCGGTGGTTCGGGTCGCAGTGGCCGCGCTTGGTTGTGGCTTGGTCCGTCGAGGTGTCCCAGGCTGAGATGTTGTCTCCTCGGTCTCACTCCTCTTCCCGTCATCTGTGGCTCTGTCCTTCTGCACCGGCGAAGCAGTGCCTGGGAAGGCGAGCTTCCGTCCTCGATGATCGGCAGCATCGTACGGTGGTTAGCTTCTCTTTTACTGCTTTGGCTCGGTTTCTTTTGCTGCGACAGGTGGAGGGCTTCTCGGTGGTCGGCTGAGATCTTTAGTCCAGGGGCTGAGAATCTTGGCCTCCATCGTTTTGGTCTCATCTCCTCGGTTCTCTGAGGTGCTGCTGGCTGCTTTTGGGGATTGGACTGATAAGATGGCTCTCTTGGTTGGGTCATTTGGACGATGCCTAGCATTGTAGGCTTTCGGCCCTTTCCTCTTCTATTTCGGCTGCCGGGCCGGGTTGGTTGAGGCTACCTAGGACTGCATTGGTAGCATTGGGGTGGAGTCGGTTCGGCTGGGGGTCGGTTGTTCCTACAATTGTGTGGAGTGCGGGCTAAACCCTTGGTTCTTGTTGGATGGCCGAGCAATCGCCTTGCTAGGCCTTATGCAGTGGTGGGCAGAGGTTTGGTTCTTTGAAGCTGGCTTCGGTTTTGGTTTGTTCGGCTGACATTTGGATTCGACTGTTGTGGGGGACATTTTAGTTTGTAGTTAGTATGTCTCGTTCGTGTGGTGTTGTGCGAGTTTTATGTCTTATGTTGTTATTTGTGTTTTTGTGTTTTTTGTTTGGGCCGTTGGCCCCTGTTAAGCCGGGTGTTATCTTTATTCTCCTGTGGGGAGCCAACACCTAGGCATTCTCTCTGAGGGGAGCTTTTAGTTTTGTGATTGTGCTTTAGTTGTGTTTTTCTCCCGTGGGGAGCCAGTTTCTAGTTGTTCGTTGTTTGAGTTAGGTTTTCTTCTGGCGTTGCCAGCGATTCTAGGCGGACTTCGGTCTAGCCTCCCAGTTTGTAATTCGAGACATGATATTATTTGTAATTTTGAAAAAAAAAAATCACTTTCATATAGAAAGGAAATATAAGATTTCACAAAATCGTTTTTGTGTTTAAGAAAGAATTTAATATTGTTGGATTTCTATGAATCATTAAAATATAGAAATCTTTTAAATCATTTGGATTAGTTACGTGTTTATTTTAAACAACTAATAGTATTTTAGATAGTTTGGATTATAAGAATCACAAAAATCTTCTTATCTAATTCATATTTAAATTCGTTTGAAAATGTGTACGGCATACTTCAAATTGAAAAACAATCCTAGAGCTTACACACAGGCACCATTCACATTTTTTTGAGAGATCAAATTTTCACATACTGTAGGACCATTCATAGTATCATATGAACTAATAATACCCATATATTGCTGCAGTGGAAAACAAACTACAAAAAGAAAGTAACAAAAGAAGAGCAATCCCATTCCATATTATATACATCGATCGAACAACTAAAAACGTTACTTTAATCGAACGATAATACCACACATTATATCACATAAGATAATCTGATGTTCAATAATATATCAATGTTTGACTGATCGGATTTTTTCCTCCTTAGAACGAAAACCCAAGTGATCGCCTCCAAAAATACGAAAATACCTCCCAAAATTGAGATCAAGACAATATACGCAGTTTTCCACTTGTTCTCGGGCTGTAAAATGCCGAGACCTTTGAACACATTGATGACTCCAAGAATTAGAATTGTATATCCTGTCCCGTGGCGGTAGATTTTCCAATAAAATCGAATTTTGTGTTCTTTGTTGGGTCTCAACAGCAAGGCAAATATCTATGTATGATGATGCGAAACATAGAACAAAACAACCACATATTAGCAAAAATGGGATCACCATATTCAGAAATAAAATGGGCTTAGAGTTAAAATGATCTCTAATCGTCATTCTATATTCAAATGATTCAATTGAAAGCAACAGAACCTGTCTTGCATGCACCTAAGAGTTATCGCAGCTTGTTTACGAACCTGTCTGCCTCGGACTATGGCTTGGAGCCTCACCAATCCTTTTAATGCCCTTAAAGCCCTTCTTGCCTAATGAAAATCCCCCCATCAATATTTCATTACAAATTCAATACACAAAAGCCACCAAAACTCAAGCAGGCAAAGAAAATCAAAAGGTGAGATTTTTCTGTGTCACTTTATTTTAATCAACTCCCAATTGCAACATAAAGAGCCAAGAAACCAAAAAGTGAGATTTTTTTTTCTTTTGCTTTTCTCAACTGAACCAATCCAAACAGCAAATCTCACATAAAAGAAGAATGCAAACAAATAAAAGAACATTTTATTTTATGCAACTTAAGAAATACTGACTAAAAATCCTTGAAAGCAGTTTGGATTCTAATTGCTGCCCATTCTTTTCTTATAGCCTTAATATCTTTAGGTGGAGCCCTAACAACAGTTGCAACAGCAGCATTAAAAGCATCATTGTTCATGCTTGAAGATTCTGTGGAGAAATTTGAGCCGCTTAGTTTTTTGAATCCTTTCCACGAGGACCCACTTAGATCCAACGACGAACTCCTCCAAATCCTCCATTTTTTGCCCTTTCCACCAACTTTTTCCTTTTGAAAAGACAGTGGTTTTAAACACAAACTGAACAAAACAGACAAAAAGGGTAATAAAATTAGCAGGGGAACGTATATTTAACAGAGACATTGAGGAAAATGCTAGCTAAATGAAAATTTAAAAAAAAAAATTAGTAACTTCACCTCTATTTGGTAACCATGGCCAAACACTCAAAAGCCCATATAAAGTGAGCAAGAAAAAATCTTTGTTAACCACAGCTGAATAATGCTTGAAAGCAAGAAATATCCTTCAAGACTCCAAGATTGTATTCGGCTGAGCTTGTAATTTTTTTCACAAAATCGTCCCGTTTAAATTTTCTTGAAGTTTTTTGGAGCACAAAGCTGCAGAAACTAACACCTTAAAAGCTTCTTCCACTTAAGTCTATCCAAACACTTCAAACAAATAACTTTCATACCATATTCAAATGGGCTTTGAGTTAAATGATCTCTAATCGTCGTTCTATATTCGAATGATTCAATTAAGAGCAACAGATTTAAGACTCCAAGATTGTATTCGGCTGAGCTTGCAATTTTTTCACAAAATCGACCCGTTTAAACTTTTTTTAGCACAAAGCTGTAGAAACTAACACCTTAAAAGCTCATTCCTCATAATTCTATCCAAACACTTCAAAGTTCAACCAACTCACTTTCAAACCATCTCATAAACTATATCAAGAATCCTTAAAAAAAATAACAATCAAATGGCGAGATATACCTGCACGGTTGCTATAACAAAGAGTGTGATCCCGATATTACGGTGAGTTGAGTACCTTCACATTTTTTTTAGATATATTTCCAAATTATGAAAGATAAAAACTTATGTATTGCCAAATGTGAAAGATAAAAATTATAACTTATGAAAGATAAAAAGATTTTAGATATATTTCCAAATTATAACTGAAGTAGAATCAATGTAATGCCAAATGTGAAGAAGAATACTGAATACCATACAACCCACGAGGCAACCATATGATCTTCGTAACTCCAAGATATGCTTTGAGCTCCTCTTCAATCTGTGCTTTGGTTAAACCAGGGTTTCTGTTTTTATTCAGGAGGCACTCTTCTGTTGTAAGGCATGTCCCTGAAAGAAAAAAACATAACACATGAACAAAATTATTCATGTAACATATATTTAAGGATGAAATGGATAACCTAGAATCTGACTCTCCACGAAGTTAGATTCTCATATCAAAACAGGAGAGCGAAAAGGTTCTTGCATATTACTTATTGGAATACGAAAAAGGTCAACAGTTCAAAGCAAATAGTAACTACATTTTACAAAGTACGAATGCTGGACAATACTAATAAATCGTAGTAATGATCTAGATCTCGACTTCATTCTCGCATACAATCAGTTTTTAAACCATTTCTATATCCATTATCTGACAATAAGAAAAATATACTAAGCGCAAATGCTCCTTATTGAACTTGAGAGCTAGAAGCCAAATGCTGATCAGACGTTAAAATCCAACTATATGTCACACAGTAAAACGATCGAATATAACATGGGTTTTTGGTTTCTTCCATAAGCACTTCTGGTTTCTTCCATATGTTGGCAGTACACTACTAACTAATATCATCATAATTACAATTTTGTTTATCACCTGCAGCTGAATACATTGGAGGTAATGGTAAGAACCTCAATGATTACCCTAATGGACACAAAATTTATAAGGTAGTAGAAAAACAGATCAAACATATCAACCATGGTATAATAAATAAAATTAATTATAGAAAAAAAAAACCCAATAAATTTAAAATAAAGTCAAGAATCAAATTCCATTAACTACACCAACCAATTGGCAATTGCAATTTGCACTTAAAAAAAATTATAGAAAAAAACCCAATAAATTTACCTTGACGAACCAATTTGCACATCAAAACAAAATTTTTATAAATAAAAACCATTAAATTTACCTTGACGAACCGACCGCACTTCTTCATCTGCCGGAAGTCGCCGAAGTTGCCTCTCCCATCGCCACCTAAGTCGACCCGGACGATCATACTTCGGTACTCCACCGGTGACTTCACCTATTTCAGCGTAGCGCCGCCAGCACCGACCTCAATTTATCCGCCATGATGAACTCGCCTCGTCCCGATCAAAAACCCTAAACACCTCTCGCACGTCCTCTTCATCGCCATCCCCCTCGTCGCCTCTATCGTCATCCATTGCTCGTACAAGGGGTCGAACTCCTCGACGTCCACCTAGGCATCCCCGTCGGCGTCAATCTTCCCGATCATTGCCCGCAACTTCTCCTTTAGCACGTAGATCCCGAGATTCTCTAATGACTCGATGAGCTCCTCCCGGCTGCTGTTGCAATAGCCGTTCATCGAGCATGGAGAAGACGATGGAGATCCACCATGCCTATATCCTCATGTCGAGACTTAATTGGAGAAATGGTTTGAGTTTGATTTTGGGATAATTATTTTGGATGTGATTTGTTTCGATATGATTTTGGGAGATTTGGTTTTGGGAGAATTATTTCTTGTTCAGATCTGATTTTGGGAGAGATGCGATAAGCAGTGTAGATATGATATACATAACATATTAAATTGATTTTGATAAGGCTTTAATACCGGCGCTTGTTTAGGATTTTTTGTTGATGATAAATATGAATTGATCTGCACAAAATATATTATCCCGTAAATTATGGAATCACAAATTCAAATTGAACGGATTTTAAATATGGTATCACAATTTTAAATTGATAGGTTTTTATAAGATTGCTATAATTAGTATGTCTGTCAATATGGTTGACTCATTATTTTTTAAAACTTTCCCAAAAGGATTTATTGACATCTCGTTTTCAATATATATAGATTGAACAAATATTCTTGGCCCATTTTGTGATTTAACTGATCAGATAATTTTCCCCTCTTCCCTTCTTCTTTGCCGCGACCGAATCCTCCCCTATCTGTACCGTTTGAATTTCAGTTCCAATTTTGTCGTGAGATTTTCCCCACGTTCTCCCCTGGCTCTATTTTATCTCCGTGAAACAATTCTCATCCTCAGGAGCACAAATCGCAGCAGCTTGTTTTAAAAAAAATAATAATAAATAAAATCTTCAGTCGCACCTTCTTCTCCTACGACCATCCCTGCCGTCGCCGACCGCCATCCTGAGAAGCTGGCGTCCACACAAGCTTAAAAACCGGCGACCTTTTTAGTTCTCGAGCATCCCTCAGTCTGTCCGTCCGGAGCCATTAAATCCGGCAGGCTCGTCGCCAGTCTTTCCGGCGAACACAGAAGATCTCCGAGCAACGTGCATCACGTTAGTCGAAGTATTCCCGCTGTCAGCCTCAATTGAACCTCAGAACCGTTAACGAGCAGTTTTCGAGTTCCGTTCGTTCGGCCCAATAGTCCGTCCCGTTTTCAGATTTTCTTGTAAATTCCCGAAGCGGGTAATCTATTTCGAACCTTCTCGTTATAATTCTGGGCTCATTTAGATTCGTTGATTCTTGCGTGTTTTTAATGATTCATTGATGATACCGTGCTCGTTTATTCGTTGGTTATTGACTCATATAATCGTTTTGTTCGTCGGATTATGATTCGTGAATCTTATTGTGAATGAGTGGAACTCTTGTTTTCGAAAACTAAATTCTTGCTGTGATTATTCATATAAGATTCGGAGTCTCGTTGTGTTCTTCCGGGCCGTCTAGTTCGTTTTATGTTTCGTTCGAGTCTTATTGTCGTTTCATTTTTCGAACCGAAACCCGACCTTTTTAAAATATTTGAACTTGATAAATTGTAATTTTTCGATAATGTTATATTTTATCCCGAGCATGAGATGCCGTTGAAGATTCGTTGTCGAGATGGGCCAAAATTTGGTCCTGTTCGTCGTTTCGTTTTTGGATCCAAAACCCGGTTTTATAAAAAGTTTTGAAACTCTGAAATCTATTTATTTCATAAATTCCCTGATCCTGAACCTGCTCGAGCATCGTCGTCCATATTTGGTCGCTGATTTCCAGCTTCTGTTCAGCTGTTTCCAGAAAATTTTTGGGTCAGTCGCAGGCCTGTTTATTTAAATTTAGTAGTCACAAGCCCTTTTTAAATCACAACCAAACCATTGGTGCACTGGTAACCTGTCCTTATTTCCTTGTGTGAGATTGGAGTTCGATTCTCTTCCCCAGCCCCCAAATTACATTTTTTCGGCCCGCTCCGGCCCGCGCGCGGCCCGCCTTCAGTCACTAGCTCCAGCCCGCGTGTTCGGCCCGCCAGCCCACGTTTTTGGCCAGCAAATTTCAGGCCCCTTTTCGTGTGGTCTTGGCCCAAATTTCACCTTTTTTTCTGGCCCAATCTTCAGATAACAAGTCCAAGTGCGGCCTTTTTACTATTTTGAGTTCCGTAAGCCCGTTTTTAGTACCGATTTCGATTTTAAAAATATTTTCAAAATGAGAAAAATTTGAAAAATATTATTTTAAGTCCCGAGACTTTGTTTTAGTCCTCCGAGTCATTTCTTTTAAAAATTTAAGAGTTCCAGGTCCACGATAAAATCCGATAAAGATCCCTTAATCATTATTTTTTATTAAGTGTGAATTATATGTTAATGTCGAGTAGTGAGATGAATTTTTGATTAAAATCTCACTTAAATGTAGGTGTTTGAGGAGTCGAGCCCTCAACCTACCGACCTATTTGTGTGTTTTTCTACCGAATAACCAGTGGGTTTTATTTGAAAAGTTTCTATGCATTAATTAACTGTTATTGTTGTGGTATGATCAAAGTATGCATGTGAACCATGTAGCTTTCGACGTGAGCTATATTGGCCGTTGAACGGTTATCCTCGTAGCTATAGAACGTACCCGATGGGGTGTCTGCTTTATTATATATGGCAGTCAGGGCGTGAGCCTTAGCTGGTGATCCTCGATGTAAGTCGGATGGGATGTTTCCGGGCATTCGGGGTGGATTTGCTCCTACTGGCTGGGCATCGAATGTAAGGCCCGCGGGGGTTTTCGATACGTGTATCAGCAGTGGTCTATTGGTATAGGTGTGCACATGAGAGTTGACTCTGGGAAGGAGATGGGATATAAATTGATTTGTGTTCATACTGCGACCATACCTGTTTTATTTTATGAAATTTAATATTAATTATTGCATAGTGGTGAGCACTTCGATTTTCTATTGTGCTCATCCCCACCTGCTCTTCATGGATGCAGGTTAGTATTTGCGGGCACGACCGAGAGAAGCGAGTGGTGGTCAAGTTATTGAATATTTTCGCTGCTTAAATTTCTTATCATGAATTATGCATTCCTGACTTATGTTGAATAATGGATTATCGATAGGGAGTGTACTCCCTGATATTTATGGATTTGATGAACCCGGTTTGGGTGTTGACCATCTATGATTGTTGAACCCGTTTGGGTGTTGACTATTTATGATTATTGAACCCGGTTGGGTGTTGACTATTTACGAATTTTGAACTCGTTGGGATTTGCATATGTGATATTATTGGAACTACATTTGGAAAATGAGTACCGCCTCAATGTTTTTGAAATAAATTTTGAAAAATTTATTCTGAATTTCGGCAAATAAAAGTGGGGCGTTACACGGGTCATGTTAAGGAGATCCAATTCCCCGAGTGGTTGTCCAACACGGTGATGGTGTCTAAGTCGGGAGGCAAGTGGAGGATGTGCATTGATTTTCGTGACCTAAATAAGGCATGCTCGAAGGATTTGTATCCGTTACCCAGGATTGACCAGTTGGTCGATTCCATTGCAGGATGTAAGTTGCTTAATTTGATGGATGCATCCCAGGGATATCATCAGATTCCTTTGGCCCGAGAGGATAGGAAGAGGGTGAGTATTGTTACGAGCAGGGGCACCTATTGTTATGTAGTGATGCCCTTTGGTTTGAAGAATGCGGGTGCGACGTATCAAAGGTTGGTCGACAAAATTTTCAAGGAGCAACTGGGGAGAAATATGGAGGTTTATGTCGACGATATGTTGGTGAAAAGCAAGGAGGAGGCCGATCACGTGAATGATTTAAAGGAAACGTTCTTGACGTTGCGGAGGTATAGTGTGAAGCTGAATCCTGCTAAATGTTCTTTTGGTGTGAAGTAGAGAAAATTTCTGGTATATATGGTGACG